TTAATCACAAATATAAAGAAGCTCATTGATAATAAAACCATAATAGTATGGGACTTCAACACCCCATTATAGCAACAGAAAGATCATTTAAACAGAAAATCAACAGACAATGGATTTGAGTGAGACACTGGACCAGATGGACTTAACAGATATATTCAGAACATTTCTTCCTAAAGCAGCAGAATATACATTCTTCTCCAGGGCACATGGAATGTCTGCAGAATAGATATCATACTGGAAACAAATCAGCCCTCAAGAAGTTCAAAAAGTTCGAGATCATGCCATGCATATTATCAGACCACAATGCTATGAAACTCAAAATCAACCACAAGAAAAAATTTGGAAAGAAAACAAATACTTGGAGACTAAAGAACATATTACTAAAGAATGAATGGTGGAATGCAATCTGGTGCAGCCACTCTGTAAAAACAGTATGGAGGTTCTTCAAAAAACTAAAAACAGAACTACTCTACGACCCAACAATTGCACTGTTAGGCATTTATCCAAGGGATACAGGTGTGCTGATTCGAAGGGACACATGCACCACCCCCATGATTATAGCAGCACTATCAACAATAGCCAAAGTATGGAAAGAGCCTACATGTCCATCAATGGATAAATGGATAAAGAAGAAGTGGTACATATATACAAAGTTGTGTTACTCGGCAATCAAAAAGACTGAAATCTTGCCATTTGCAACTATATGGATCAAACTGTAGTGTATTATGTTAAGTGTAATTAGTCAGTCAGAGAAAGACAGAAACCATATGACTTCACTCACATGAGGACTTTAAGAGACAAAACATATGAACATAAGGGAAGGGAAACAAAAATAAAATAAAAACAGTGAGGGGTCAAAACAGAATTAACTCAAAACTATGTAGAACAGACAGAGGGTTACTGTATGGGATGTGGGAGGGGGTTGGGCTCAATGGGTAAGGGGCATTAAGGAATCTACTCATGAAATCATTGTTGCACTATATGCTAACTAATTGGGATGTAAACTTTAAAAAATAAAAAATAAAATTAAAAAAAAAAGGAATGAATGGTTGAACCAAGAAGTTAAAGAGAAAATTTAAAAGTACATGGAAGCAATGAAACTGATAACATCACACCCCAAAACCTCTGGGATTCAGCAAAGGTAGTCATAAGAGGAAGTTTATAGCAATCCAGGCCTTCAAAAAGAAGTAAGAAGGTCTCAGATACACAACCTAAACTTATACCTTAAAGAGCTGGAAAAAGAACAACAACAACAATAACAAAAACCAGCAGAAGACAAGAAATGATAAAGATTACAGCAAAAATCAATGCTATCAAAACTGAAAACAAAACAAAAACACACACAGAAAAAACAACAACATATAACCCCACACAAAACAAACTAACAAACAGTAGAACAGATCAATGAAACCAGAAGCTGTTTCTTTGAAATAATTAATAAAATGTATAAACCCCTAGCCAGTTGGATCAAGAAGAAAAAGGAAAGGACCCAAATAAATAAAATCAAGAATGAAAGAGGAGAGATCACAACCAACACAGCAGAAATACGAACAATGATAAGAGAATATTATCAGCAAATATATGCCAATAAAATCGCCAATCTGGAAGAAACGGACAAGTTTCTACAAATATATAATCTACCAAAACTGAAAAAGGAAGAAATAGAAAACTTGAACAGACCCATAACCAGCAAAGACATTGAATTAGTAATCAAACATATCCCAAAAAACAAGAGCCCAGGTCCAGATGGCTTTCCAGGGGTATTCTACCAAACATTTAAGGAAGAGTTAACACCTATGCTCTTGAAGCTGTCCCCAAAAAAGAAATGGAAGGAAAACTTCCCAACATTTTCTGTGAACCTAGTATTACCTCGATTCCAAAACCAGAAAAGGACCCACTAAAAAGGAGAAGTATAGACAAATTTTCATGATGAACATGGACGCAAACATCTCCCACAAGATATGAACCAACCAGATCCAACAATACATTTAAACGTTATTCACCAAGACCAAAAGGGATTCATACCTGGAATTTAAAGCTGGTTCAGTATCCGCAAAACAATGTGACTTATCACATCAATAAAAGCAAGGACAAGAACCACATGATCCTCTCAATAGATGCAGAGAAATCATTTGACAAAATACAGCATCCTTTCTTGATAAAAAGCCTCAAGAAAGTAGGGATTAGAAGGATCAAACATCGAGATCATAAAAGGCATGTGTGAAAGACCCGACTCTAAGATCATCCTCAATGGAGCAAAACTGAGAGCTTTCCTACTAAGGTCAGGAACAAGACAAGGATGTCCACTCTTTTTTTTTTATTTTTTTTTAACGTTTATTTTATTTTTGAGACAGAGAGAGACAGAGCATGAACGGGGGAGGGTAAGAAAGAGGGAGACACAGAATCTGAAACAGGCTCCAGGCTCTGAGCGGTCAGCACAGAGCCCGACACGGGGCTCGAACTCACGGACTGCAAGATCATGACCTGAGCCGAAGTCAGCCGCTTAACCGACTGAGCCACCCAGGCGCCCCAGGATGTCCACTCTTATCACTGGTATTCAACATAATATGGGAAGTCTTAGCCTCAGCAATCAGACAACACAAAGAAATAAAAGGCATCCAAATCATCCAGGAGGATCTCAATCTTTCACTCTTCGTAGATTGCATGAAATTCTATGTGGAAATATAAAATAGAGCACCAAAAAACTGCTAGAAATAATACATGAATTCAGCAAAGTGGCAGGATATAACATCAATGCACAGAAATCAGTTGCATTCCTATGCACTAACAATGAAGCAACAGAAAGAGAAAACAGGGAATCGATCCCATTAACAATTGCACCAAAAACCATAAAATACCTAGGAATATATGTAACCAAAGAGGTGAAAAATCTATACACTGAAAACTATAGAAGGCTTAGGAAAGAAATTGCAGATGACAAACACACAAAAAGGAAAAATATTGCATGCTCCTGGATAGGAAGAACAATTATTGTTAAAATGTCAATAGTACTCAGAGCAATGTATATATTCAACACAATACCTATCAAAATAACACCAGCATTCTTCACAGAGCTACAACAAAGAATCCTACAATATGCATGGAACCAGAAAAGACCCTGAATAGCCAAAGCTATCTTGAAAAGGAAAACCAAAGTAGGAGGCATCACAATCCTGGACTTCAAGCTGTATTACAAAGTTGTAATCACCAAGACAGTATGGTCCTGGCACAAGAACACTCAGATCAATGGAAGAGAATACGAACACAGAAATGGACACGCAGACGTATGGCCAACTAATCTTTGACAAGGAAGGAAAGAATATCCAATGGAATAAAGACAGTCTCCTCAGCAAGAGTGCTGAGAAAACTGGACAGCGACATGAGAAGAATGAGTATGGACCACTTGCTCACACTCAAAATGGATGAAAGACACTCAAATGGATGAAAGACCTAAATGTAACATAGGAAGCCATCAAAACCCTCGAGGAGAAAGCTGACAGAAACCTCTTTGATGTTTGCTCCCACAACTTCTTAGTCAACAAGTCTCTGGAGGCAAGGGAAACAAAGGCAAAAATGAACTATTAGCACCTCATTAAAATAAAACGCTTCTGAACAGAGAAGGAAACAATCAGCATAACTAAAAGGCAACCAACAGAAAGGGAGAAAATATTTGCAAATGACATATGAGATAAAGGATTAGTATTCAAAATCTATACAGAACATATCGAACTCAACACCCAAAAAACAAGTAATCCAGTGAAGAAATGGGCAAAGACATGAGAAAACACTTCTCCAAGGATGATATCCAGATGGCCAAATGAGACATGAAAAAAATGCTCAACATCACTCATCATCAGTGAAATACAAATCAAAACCACAATGAGATAACATCTCACTCCTGTGAGAATGGCTAACATTAACAACTCAGGCAACAACAGATATTGGCGGGGAAGTGGTGAAAGAGGAACTCTTGCACTGCTGGCGGGAATGCAAAATGGTGAAGCCACTCTGGAAAACAGTAGGTAGGTTCCTCACAAAATGGAAAAGAGGACTACCCTAACCCAACAGTAGCACTACTAGGTATTGATCCAAGAGATACAGATATGCTATTTCGAAGGGACAAGTGAACCCCAAAGTTTATAGCAGCGCTATCAACAACAGCTAAAGTATGGAAAAAGCCCAAATGTCCATTGATGGATGAATGGATAAAAAGATGTGGTATATATATGTATGTATATATACATACACAATTGAGCATTAGCAACCCAAAGAATAGTTGTACAACTTGCATGAATGCAAATATACTTTCTAAAACAAAGCTCATTCTGAAATAGACAATCTATGCAGAAAAATCCTAAGTTCTATTTCCAACAACCAGCCCCACGCAAAGAAAGAACAATACTCTCTTAAGTATAAATAACTGACTTTCAAAGTCTACGACGGGTTTTCACCAATACAGCCCAGTCATGTTACCAAGAACACATGGTAAACTCTTACAACAAAGGAAATGACTTTTCCTCTATATTGTAGGAAAAAATAACAGCTATTATCTTGACATTATGAATTCATTGTATAATTCAGACCTGTTACAAAGGAAACAAACTCTCTCAGTATTCTTGCTGGCTAAATTTTGCAAAGGGACGAATGCATTTATATAATCAATAAGGATAACAGAAATTGCAGCAGTAAAAAATAAAAGGATGTGATATTGTAATTCAACCTGAGGGTATAATTACTCAGATACTAAACTTAATCCCATTTCCTGGAATGTGATAGCAGCTTTACATGTACCGTTGCTTATAATATACCAGGCTGAAGTATGGCCTTTCCCCGTTCATCTTGGGGACAGTGTGGTAGATGAAAGAAAGTGGGCTTTGGAGCCCATGAGAACAAAGTTATCCAAAGAACAGCACTTACTAGTACTGTGATCTCAGGAACATGACCTACTCTTTCTTGAGCTTCAGATTGTGGATTTTCAAAATGAAAATAATCATACTTACCTCACCTAGATGTTGTGATGCCCATGCTAAGGATGTAATTCCAGTGCCAGCCAGGAACTTGGAGTATAGAGGTAGAGGGAAGATGCAAGCCTATACAAATAAATAAAGAGAGTTATAACTTAGGCTAAGCGCAAACTGGGATTAGAACTGTGTGAGCAAATAATGGGAAAAAGGGCATAGAGAAAAAAAATACATGTAGGTAGTGACTAGGTACAACAGACAGAAAACTGTTATGGAATGCTTTTGCCCCCTAAGTCCATATATTGAAGTCCTAACTACCCATGGGACTGTACTTGGATACCAGATCTTGAAAGGTAAAGTAGAGGTCGAATGAGCTCAATTGCTGGAGGGACCCTAATCTGATAAATGGTGTCCTATATGAAGAGAGTGGGCACCTACACACATAGAAGGAAGACCACGTGAAGACAGTGGGAAGGAGGTCGTCCACCAGTCATGAACACAGGACACCCACCCTGGCCACACCTTGATCTAAAGTATGAGAAAATTGGGGGCGCCTGGGTAGCTCAGTCGGTTAAGCATCCGACTTTGGCTCATGATCTCGCGGTTCATGAGTTCAAACCCCGTGTCGGGCTCTGTGATGACAGCTCAGAGCCTGGAGCCTGTTTCAGATTCTGTGTCTCCATCTCTCTCTCTGACCCTCCCCCATTCATGCTCTGTCTCTGTCTCAAAAATAAATAAACGTTAAGAAAAACAAAGTGTGAGAAAATAAATAAATCAATTTCTGTTGCTTAAGCCACCCAGTGTGGTACTTTGTGATCATGGACCCAACAAAGTAATATGAAATCCCAGTATTACTTGCTTAGCAAATGGTGTTTGAGCCTTTGAAGGAGTTAGACACTGATCTAGGGCCCTACAGAAACAGCCCTAAACAAGCTAGTTTGGTCTTTGTACCCCATGGAGCCGACATTCTGGCAGGGACTGCAGCAGGCAACATCCCGCAAGCAAGAAAGAAAAACAGATGGTGCCAAGGGCCGGGCCAGGAAGAAAAGAAAGCTGGGGAGGGATATCAAGCGTTCAGGTCGGAGAAGGAGCAGCTTTCGGTTTTAGATAGAGAGCTAGCAGAGACTCCACTGTGCAGGTGATGTCAGAACAAAGATATGAAGGAAATGATGGAGTATGCCATGTTGGTCTGTGGGAGAACATTCTGGACAGAGAGAGGAAAAGTGAGTACAAAGACCTGAAGCAGGAATATGTGCCTGACATGCTCAGGGAGCAGGGAGGGGGCAGGTGTGGCCACAGCCAAGTAAACAAGGGGAGGGGAATAGGAGAAGGCTTCAGGGAGGAAGCAGAGTCTGGGGAGGGTAGCACCTTTGTGGTATACATTGGAGTCAGTAGTCTGGAGACATGAAGAGCTGGGGGCAGGGCATAAAGACTTGGAGGCCCCAGATGCTGGTAGATAGAAGCCTGAGGCTGGCTGCCATGACACCAGAGTAAGGGTGGACTGAAAGCAGATGGGGGAGGGTGTGGGAAGAAGATGAGTACCAACAAACACAGACACTGGTGAGAAGTGGCCCGGATGGTGGAAGGAGGATGGAAGTAATTTTTAAAGAAAGGGATGGGGCGCCTGGGTGGCACAGTCGGTTAAGCGTCCGACTTCAGCCAGGTCATGATCTCGCGGTCCGTGAGTTCGAGCCCCGCATCAGGCTCTGGGCTGATGGCTCAGAGCCTGGAGCCTCTTTCCGATTCTGTGTCTCCCTCCCTCTCTGCCCCTCCCCCGTTCATGCTCTGTCTCTCTCTGTCCCAAAAATAAATAAACGTTGGGAAAAAAAAATTTAAAGAAAGGGAGTAATCAAGTGAGTCTGTAAAATGGTGCCACGTCGTCCACATACTGGGGGTTGAGACTTCACTGTGAGCTTTAGCGATGTATGTCATTCATTAAAGAGATGAGAACTAGGGACGAGTGGGAGAGGAAGCCCATTCAGACAGCTGACAGAGACAAGGGAAGGTCTGCAGGCACCGGCACGTGCAATGCTAGGCACAGGAAGACCAAACAGGTGGTGCTGGATGGGAAGTGATTGCTCCCCATGGGCTGGGAGAAATAGCTGCAGGTGCACAGGATGGCCGGGTCCTGAGAAAACTCGCGGTGTGCAGGAGAGAGAGAAGCGGTATGGGAAACATGTTAGCAAGACATGGATTCCTCCCTTAGGAATACGACCCAACTGTGTCAACGGGACACCAGCCACAGCCATGGGGATAGATGTAGCAAGGTGGGCGGCTGTGAGGTTGTTGGGAATGTGTGTGATTGGGAAACACAATAAAGATGCCCTATGTTCTCTCTGCCTGTAGAATGGGATCATGGCCAGCATTTCAATACTGATGCACACGAGAAACAGAGCATCAAGCCCTCCATAGGGACTCCCAAGTTGTCCTCTTACAGCAGACATTCCCACCTCCTTCCTGCACCCATCAGCTTTGTGATGCCTGGCAATCCCTGATCTGCTAACCATTTTTATGATTTTGTCAAATCGAGAAGATTATACAAATTGAATCGAAAAGCATGTGATCTTTTTAGGATTCGCTTTTCCACTCTGGGCAGAATTCTCCAGAGATTCGGTCCTGCTGCAGTGTCTCTCAGCAGTGCGTGCCCTGGCACTGCTCACAGGTGTGCGCCCACCACACGGTGATAGCATGGTTTGGCTGTCTCCCTATGGAAGGGCATGTTGTACTAGGCTGTTCAATGGCACTCAAAGAAAGCAAGTCCTAATAGCTGGAATCTAACTCCCATCGATGGGATCTAGTTAAGGATCTTGAGTCCTGGGTTGCCTGAGTGAGCCCTAGATGGAATGATGAGCATTCTTAGAGAGGCAAAGGGAGACTTGACAAATAGGAGGCACTGTGTCCATGGAGACAGACTGGGGTGATGTGGTCACAAGCCAAGGGAGGTTGGTGGCCACCGGGAGCTACTAGACGGAAGGGGTACACTGTCCCCTGGAACCCTGGACTCTCCACCGGGAGTAGAGCCCTGGTGACACCTTAGTCTCAGTAAAGGGATTTCGGGTTCCTGGCCTCCAGAACTCTGAGAGAACATGATTTTGTTCTCATAAGCCATCAAGATTGTGGTAAAAGAGCAGGTGTGCGCACAACAGGAGGACCCCATTCCCATCTCCCTTGGACTTTGGAGTCTTCCTTCCCTGAGAAAGTCAGGGAAGTTCTGGCATTTTAACCTAGTTGACTGCAGGCAGCCATTGAGTCATTATTATGACTATTCTCTGTTCTCCAGGAAACATATTAAATTACATTTTCTGCAGGAAGAACCGTGTATCCATGTCTGGCCTATCTTATGTCACCCTCTTTGGTATAATACTCTTCGAACCCACTCCCATACTTGTCCCCCATCTACTACCAGTGCGAAGTGGTAATATCCTGCAACTCCCCTGCATGGACACCTGATCACGCATGGACCTGATCCCACACCTCCGTTTCTAGTACACTGGAATCCCTCTATTTTCCAGGAAGTAAACACAGATGGTAGACGTGGAGCGTGAAGATCACTGTTCTCAGTCATGACAGTATTGTCTTATGAAGCCATTGAAACCTTTTCTCTAGGGGTTCCGGGGAGGGATGGGACTATTTTCCTCAGACAGGGGAGTTGCTTCTCTTGGCAACAAACACAAGATACTCACCTCATGAAGTCATACATTTTCTGGTGTTTTTCCCTTGCTTTCAACCTCTCCTATTTCCTGTGTATACACCAGACACCCAAAACTGACCCTGGACAGGCTCTGTAGCTGCCCCCCATGGCCACAGTGACAATTCCACACGTGATCCTCCAGCATGCTGTCCTCCATCACTCCACACCAGCATGAGTGGTAATGTGAGCAAATGTGAAATCACCTCTTACCACCAATGTCCAGTATCCACTTCTGCCGTCAAGGAAGCTACTTGTATGTCTTCTACTGGAAGAGCAGTCCAGTCCCAGAGTTCCAGTTCCAACCGGTTTCCTGTGGCCACTCATGGTACAAATTACCACTGGTACAGGACTGCGACAGAGGCAGACAGCACACCCAAAAGCAGTGAGTGAAGAGCAGTGCAAAGGTAAGGGAACCTCCAGGAGATGGTGGAGAGGCCAAAGCAGCCATGCTAAGCAAAGACAAGATGTTTCCACCAAGAAGAAACTGCAAAGAAAAGTGGTTCCTGATCCTGTAATATTTATCTAGAGAGGAGAGTCTTGTGGGGGGGTGTAATGCAGAGGAACATGACTACAGAAGCTCCCCGCCATCCATGGGGATATGTCCGGAGACCCCAGGTGGGTCCTGGAAACCATGACAGTACAAACACTGTAGTGGCCATGAAGGGGTGCTGTCACCACAACCCTACATAGACCATGAAGGGGCACAGGTGGCTCTCCCCTACATAGCCCAGGAAGGGACACAAGCGTGACATATATCCAAGGCCAATGAAGGGGCACAGAAGGGCTGCAAGCATCAGACCCCTGTATTGCCGATGTAGGGGTATCAAGGCTGTTCTTGAAGGTCAAAATATATGATTCACACACTGTAGGCGGCTGTTAGAGATATGGCCATGAGCATTCATAGTAGATCTCAGGCACTGGTATATGATCTTAAGATCTGAAAACCAAAAATAGACAACCAAAACCTAAGTTAACACTGGGTGTATTTCACAATAGAAACAATAATGCTAGTATGTGCAACAAGAAATATTTGTACTTGCCTAAGCTCTATCAGGGCGGATAACCATGGATAGTTAACCATAAGATAAAAATAACCTAACTGTAAAGTCAATATCAAACCAATTGTTGATGCAACACAGATAGGCCATTAAGGAAAGATGAAAAGAAGTAAAAGGAACTCAGCAAACACAAACCCCATCTGTTTACCAGTAAAATCACCTCTAGCATTTCTAGTTTTAGAGGCCCTGACTGCCCAGAGACATTCGTGAAATGGCCATAGTATCCTGACCATGCAAAGTAGCATAATCACTTGTTCCTTAAATAGTGACTCATATGAATGGCCACACGAGGGTTTTACTGTCTCTTACAATCGGTGAAATGGACCTTCCTGTGAAGAGGCGGGAATAGGGCAAGAAGACAAGTAGAACGATGGATCTGCTTTCAAATGTTTTTAGCTTCATTTTTTTGGAGATAGAGACAGAGATAGAGAGAGAGAGAGAGAGAGAGAGAGAGAGAAAGAGAGAGAGAGATACAGAACACATGTGGGGAAGGGGCAGACAGAGAGTGAGACACAGTATTTGAAGCAGGCTCCATGGTCAGAGCCATCAGCACAGAAGTGAAGCCAGGGTTCGAACCCACAAACCATGAGACCATGACCTGAACTAAAGTGGGACACTTAATCCACTGAATGGCTGAGGCAGTGCAAATACATGTGACCTAAAAGGAACATGAACGCTACATCGCCAATGAAGGGATGCAGAAGGGACACATGCATGATCCCCTCCATGCTGAGGTGGGGGCGAGCACATGAGTGACACCCCTCCATTCCAGAGACAATGGCGCAATGGTGACCCCCCACCCTTGATGTGGTAGGGTGCATGTTTCAACCCCTTTCTGTCCAAAGGCACGGGAGCGCTAATGCTTGAAAACCTTCCATACCCAGGGTGGAGGAAGTATGACCTAAGACTTACCCTCCCCTTATGTCAGTGCCAACCCTAACCCTTAACTTAAGAGATGCATGTTTCTTCAGCTGTGAAAGTGAAAGAACCATTCATGAAACATCGCGTTTAATAGTGACATCACTACTCTCTCCCTGAAGGATGGCACTGTGCATGCGTGGCCATCTCATACACCAACCAGGGACAAGGCAGAAATCTGAACCACCTCTGGCGTCAAGTGGGGTGGGGCACATGTTTGAACACCCTCCATCACTGAGGAGGCTTCTGTGCATGTGTGAACACCCTTCTCGCCGAGGTGAGTTGGGCCAAACGTGAACACTCTCCCTTGCTGAAGGAGGATTGTGTGCCTGTACAAATGGTCTACCTCACAGAGAGGGGGTTGTGGGCATATCTGAACCCCCTTCGGACAGGAGGGGGGGCTTTGCATGTGCGTGAACACCTTTCTGGCGAGGGGAGTGGGGAGCATATGTCAACGGCCTACCTGGCCACAGAGTTGCATGGTACATGCACGAAAGCACCCCTCCCTCATAGAGAGGGGCTTGTTCGTATGTGTGAACACCCTGCCATGTCAAGGGGGCGTGGTGCGTATGAGAACCTTCTCCCCGTGGAGAGGGCTTGGCGCATGCGTGAACCCCATTCCACAATGAGAGTGTTTGTGCACATGTGTGAGTACCCTTTTGTCCCTAGGTGTGGCAGTGCCCGTGCGTGAATAGCCTCCGGCAATAAGGGGGTGGGGCGCATATGTCAACACCCTGCTGTGCCAAAGTGGGGTTGGGCTCATGGGTGAACACGCTCCCATGCCAAAGGGGGACACGCTAATGCTTGGAAATCCATGCGAAGGGGGAGGAAGCTTGATCAAACCCTTACCCTACCACTGATGATAATATTAACCCTAAACATAACCTTAAGAGATACGTTTTCTTCAGCTGTGAAAGTGAAAAGAACCATTCATGAAACATCACATTCAATAGTGACATCAGTACTTCCTCCCTGAGGGGTGGCACTGTGCATGGGTGACCGACTCACATGCTGACAGGGGGCCAGGCGGAAGCCTGAACAACCTCCTGTGCTAAGTGGGGCAGGGCGCATGAGCCAACGACCTCCCTGGCTGAGGTGGTTGTTCTGCGCATGTCTGAACACACTTCTTTGCTCAAGGGAGGGGGGCGCATGTTCAAATGCCTTCCCTCATTAAGAGGGGCTGTGCTGGGGCGCCTGGGTGGCGCAGTCGGTTAAGCGTCCGACTTCAACCAGGTCACGATCTCACAGTCCGTGAGTTCGAGCCCCGCGTCGGGCTCTGGGCTGATGGCTCAGAGCCTGGAGCCTGTTTCCGATTCTGTGTCTCCCTCTCTCTCTGCCCCTTGCCCGTTCATGCTCTGTCTCTGTCCCAAAAATAAATAAACATTGAAAAAATAAAACATTAAAAAAAAAAAAAAAAAGAGGGGCTGTGCGCATGCCTGTAGAGCCTACTGCAATAGTGGGTAAGGAGCATGCATGAATGCCCTCCCTTGCTGATGGGGGTTGTGCTAATGTGGAAACGCCCTATATCTTTGAGCGGGAGTTTTGTGCATGTGTGAACACACTTCCGCCAGTAGGGAGAGCTGTGCACATGTGTGAACAGCCCCCCATGGTATGGGGTGGGGCCCACGTGCGAATAGCATCCCTCCTATAGCCGGGGTTGTTTACAAACGTGAACACACTTCCGCCACGACAGGGGCTGGTCACATCTATGAACAACCTCCAGTGCTAAGGGGACGAGGTGCATAGGTCAACACCCTCCCTGCCAAAGTGGGTATGGGGCGCATGCTTAAACCATTCCCTTGCTGAGAGATGCATGGCGCATGTGTGAACACCTTCCCTCATGGAGGGGTTGTTGTGCACATGCATGAATACCGCCCCTCAATGACCGTGGGCTGTGCCCATGCATGAACACAACCTCCCCTCCCGGCAGAAGAGGGCGGGGCAGATGCGTGAATATTCTCCCATGGTGATGTATCAAGTCACATAGGTCAACACCTTCTCATGCCAAATGGGGGATGGTGCACATGGGTGAATGCCCTTATGCCAGGAGGGGGGGGGCTTACACACATGAGAACAAACTCCCGTGCTAGTGGGGCAGAGTGCATGCGCACACGCCCTCCATTGCAAAGGGGGGTTGTGCGTGAGAACATCCTTCTACCCCGAAGGAGGGCTGTGCACATCCGTGAACATGTGCCAAGTGGGGCAGGGAGCATGAGTGAAACACCTCTGGTGCAGAGAGGGGGAGCAAGCATGACCTAACCCTTACCCTAAACCCTAGATGTAAGGCTAACCCTAACCCTTACCTTAAGTGATACGTGCTTCTTCAGCTGTGAAAGTGAAAAGAATCATTGATGAAAAGTCACATTTAATAGTGACAACATTACTCCCCCTCTGAGGGGGGGCACTGTTAATGGGTGACACCCTCCCTCGCCGAGGGGTGAGGAGCATGTGTGAACCACCTCCCATGTGGAGGGAGACAGGGCACATGTGTCAACACCCTCACTCACCTTGGGGGGGATGTGCAAATGTGCGAATGCGTGAACGCACTACCAAGTGGAAGGGGATGGGGCGCATGTGTGAACACCCTACCATGCTGAAAGGGGCGGGGCACATGCATGACTGACACCCTCCCATGTGCCCTCCGCTGAGCCCTCCGGGGAGACCACTGCACTTCTGTGGATCAGCAACTGGAGCCACCTGGGAAGTAATCCCAACACTAATAGTGACCAGAAACATACACATCAACCTCAACCTCAACTCCAGCTCTAACACTAACACTACACCTGACCCGCATGAATTCATGGGCCCTCATTCAGCCCTCCATGGAGATAACAGGACTGGTGTCATTTCGGCCCTTCTTATATCCCTGGACCAAACCCTCACCCTATCTATGGCTCCCTCCCAATGGGTATCCGGTTCCTATCTCTGAGAACACCACGCGCATAGGGCCCGATCCCTACAGTATTGTTCAGATTTGAATCGGAACATCATCATGTCAATTCCATTGCCGGCATGGAGTTCCACAAGAAGGTTGCTGAGGCCCAACTGAAGAGTGACACACATGGGAGGCGATCCTGGCATGAAAAAACTAAGTCTGAACTGAAGACTCCCGTGCAGCCTCCACTCAGCCCTCAGTGGAGACAACTTCTCTGCTAGGGGTTCACTGCCTGGAACCTCCTGGGTCCTACCCCTAACACTAACCTTGATCCTAAACATGCCCCTCAACTTAAACTTCATACCAACTCTAACCATAACCCTACAACCATAAACCTACACGACACAGGGCCTTGTACATAGTGAATACTCAGCACACACATGTTGACTCAATGAATGCATGCTCTGAAGCCAGACCTCTCAGATAACCATTCCACCTCCACCACTTAAGGGCTTTGTGATTGGGCAAGTTATTTAATCTCTTTACGTTTCTTTGATATTAAAAAAGTGTACCAGAATCCTTAATGAATTAGGGAGTTGTGAGGAGGAAATGAGCTTGCACATAGTAAGGGTTCATTTAGTAGGAGATTGGCAGAAGCAGCATTCACAAGCATCATTTTCTGTCACACACAGTTAGGGCCACAATACCCTCTGGTGACCACACAGTGTAAATGCACATGCACGTGCACTTTGCCCTCCCTCCACTCCGGGTGGGAGGCTGGGGAGATATGGCCCGGAAAATCTTTTTCCTGCACCTGCCTTCCAGAAGCCCAGACATAGCCATGATGCCCTCTGTGTCCTCGTCCCTTCCTCCCTTTGAATTGGGTCCAGCTGCTCACCACAGCTGATTAAGCTACGGCCAGATGTTCCATCAGGGCATTCTCCACCTCACTGGCCTGATTCAGCACCTGGAGGATCAATGACTCCTTCTCGGTTTCTGAGAAGCTGGCAGGGCTGGGTGACCCAGGCCATCAAGTGCCATATTTTGGAATGTCACATCTTACTTTTGTATATAGGATAACTATCTCAGGGCGCCCAGATCCCTGTGTCCTGCCTCTGTCTTGGGCCCCATATATGAAGAATGGACACTCCATGTAGTAAATATGACAGTCACTGGGCACCTGGGTGGCTGAGTGGGTGAAGCATCCGACTTCAGATCTGGTCATGATCTAGCAGGTTGTGAGTTTGAACCCTGCATTGCATTCTGTGTTGACAGCTCAGAGCCCGGAGCCTGCTTTAAATTCTGTGTCTCCCTCTCTTTCTGCCTCTTCTCCTCTCACACTCTGACTATCTGTGCCTTCTCAAAAATAAATAAGCATTTAAAAAAAAGAAACACGATAGTCACATGCTCCCCAAAGTTTCTTACCTCACTGCCTCTGGTCAGGGAAGA